CCCTCTGACTCAAGTGCTCACAAGTATGACCAGAATCCTATTCTCCCACAATATTTCACCTTGTAATTGGAGTGCCATTAACCTGCAGTCTTCTATGGTAACGCTGTACAATGTACAATAAAAGTACATCAGAATATAGGATATACAGATGGTTAGCCCAGTTCTGAAAATGTTTATAATGTATCATAGGTACTTACATTTTTATTTCATTTGTAGAATTCGTGGCACAAACTACCAAAGTCCTCATGGTATTCCCATTGATTTACTGGATCGATTACTCATTATCTCGACTTCGCCATACAATGAGAAAGAAACCAAACAGATCCTGAAGATCAGGTGAGGCTTGCGTTGAGGAATTTAGTTACTGAATTACCCTATTACTACTATAGTGTAACTTTACCCATATTCCATATAAAGTGTTACTACATAAATGTGATTTGATATTTTGATGCTTGTTATGGTTGATTTTTGTTTTTTTTTTGTTTTTTTTGTTTTCTTTTTCCCCCCAGTAAAAGAGCATTTAGTATATTCTTTTTCAGTTCCAGAATTTACAAAAGGTTTCCTCTAACAAGAAGAATGGCTTATATGTAATATTTCCCTTTCAATGCCAGAGCAGTTTTTGCACGCATGTTTAAATCATTTTAGGCCTGATTACACGAAACCACCTAGACATATATTTTCTGAAAGCAAACACCCTAAAGAAAAAAGTAGTAATAGTTCCAATTTTTATGTCACACAATATTGCCGCAAAGGTCTAAGAAATGCAAAATTGCAGTAAAAAGCACTATAAAGTGAATTTTAGTACAAACAAATACAATAAATTACCCAAAGTTTAGATCAAATATAAAAGATGAGGTTGCACTGAGTAAATGGATACCCAGTATGTCAAACCTCAAAGTTGTGTGCACCTTTTGAAATGGCAACAAACTTCAGTACCTTTATTATTTTATAGGCGACGCTTCAAAAGCCCATACAGGTCATCAATTTAGTGTTACAGAGGATGTCTTGTGCTAGAATTATTGCTCCCACTCTGGCGTGTGCTGCAATATGTAAACGTGTATCGCCATCTCTGTTTTCACGTGTGGGTGCCCCTGACATGTACATTTCCATTCATGCATATATAATATGGGGGGGGGGGGGTTGCTTGGGTGTGTAACTTCTTCTGCAATTGAAAATTTCTTTTAATTTTTTTTTATTACATAAGGGACAAAGTCTCCTATGGTGGTGATTTTTAGGTGACAGGTTCTCTTTATTGAGACATGCTGCATCTATAAGACCCTGCATGTCTCCTCTGTGACTTAGCACTGTCACAAGCAGCTAATTGCAGTGTTTTTGTAGGAATTGTGTACATGAGCAAATGCATCAAACTGTTTTGTATTCCAATTGACCGGATTAAAAAAGAAAAGCATTTCTCAACAAATGCCTGTGTACACAAACTGTAACCTTCAGGACAGAACACAAATATGAACTTGTGCACCACAAATGAATATAAAGGGAACCCTTCCTAGTACAGTGATGTCCCATAAAGATACAAAAAAAATACACAAAGCAGGTCCATCGCATTACAAGTTCTAGCTTTCAACAATCTCTTCAGGAATGCCAATTAAGTTTATATTCAGTGAAGGTCAGCGGTCATGCAACATGGGATCCTGCAGCTATTGATATTGATCCGGGGAGATCAGGAGAGCTCAAATATATAAGAACAACAGTGCATGATCCCCATTAGCATAGTCCATTTTTTTTTTCTTTCAATAAAAACAAAACATGGCACACTTACACCTAAAATTCTTGTCCTCAGCACAGGGATTACATGTAGACATCATCAGCTTGTATAATCCGTGTGCTGATGACCAGAATTTTAGATGTAAGTGTGCTATGTTTTGTTTTTTAATAAACAGAATTTACTATGCTAATGGGGATCCCATGATGTTCTTATATCTTAGTACAGTGGTGTGAGAATGGTGTTGAGGTTCACTGATTTGAGCTAGAATGAAGGGTCACAGTCTTGAACAGTACATCTTTTCTTACCACAAACCTGTTTTCTGGTGCCCAATGTTAATCTTCAGTGACGGACATGATCATTATTTGATAGACTTGCTCTTTTTCTAGATGTGAAGAAGAAGATGTGGACATGAGTGAAGATGCTTACACTGTATTGACACGGATTGGTCTAGAAACCTCTCTGAGATACTCCATACAGCTCATCACTGCTGCAAGCCTTGTCTGTAGGAAAAGGAAGGTGAGTTATCTGCTAAATGGATACTGAGGTTTTATGTGTACTGTACTTTTGCATAACCAAAATACAAAAGCTCTGCAGTTACTAGAGTAGAGGTTACTATTTGCCATTATGCTAACACAGAAGTGTAATTTTGAAGAGTTTTTGCACGTCATTCTGGGACCATACTTGCACGCCTACTGGGGTTGCAAACAATAAGATATAGGACTCCCGAAAGTGTACAACATTAGAGGTGGTTTAAAGCAAAACCTGTGGCCATGAGTAAGGGCAACATGCATTTACTACTTACTTTGATTCTTTGTTCTTTTTGTTGTACCCATGAATGCTTCATAAAACCACTCATCTTGTTATTACTTTGTGGTTATGGATCATAGGCACACCCTCGCCCCATATCCCTGTGCCTTGGCACTGTCACAATGAGTGCCTATGCTTACAAAACTACTGACTCTGAGAGTCCGTATTTGTATGTGTGGTTCAGGCAGGTCTATGGCCTCAGTTTTGGTCCCTCTGCTAGGAGTTCTATGACCACTTTTTGTGCTTTTTGTGTGAATGATGATTTTACCATCTCAGCAGCATTTGTACATGTTTTCTTCTTCAAATTTTTCCTCTGACAACCCAAACATCTACTTGTAGGTCAAATGAAATAATAGATTGCCTTTGTATGAAAGTAAAGGGGCGTTGGCTTGTAAACTGCTAATGGAGGCAAGCACTGATGTACGTGGTTCAGTGTGTTTGCCTGTAGGTTATATTTACTCTATGGAAATAGATATATATTGTATGCTATGTATACTTAACTGATTGAATTGTGTATGGCCGCCAGCTGATAATTGAGGTCTCTTTTTTATTTCAGGGCAATGAGGTCCAAGTAGATGACATTAAGCGAGTCTATTCGCTATTCCTTGATGAATCCAGATCAACACAGTACATGAAAGAGTACCAGGATGCCTTTATGTTCAATGAAATGAGTAAGTGTAAGTCACTCCAACTAAGCAACACAAAAACATCAACCAAGCACTGAAAACTCCTTGTAAGCTTTGATTAACTGTATTGCAGCAGCTGATTTAGGGGTTACAGAAAAGAAGGTAGGCAACATGTCAGTAGATAGTTTATCCCCTTGGCGCCGGCTCCTCCTGGCCCTTTAAGGGGTTTCAGATGCCAGGAGGCAGGGTGGGGTTTCTGATTATGTCACTGCTGTGGTTTGGCTGTCACAGTGGCCACATGATCATGAACACCATTGGGCAGCACAGCCGTTAAGTCGTTAGCACTTCCCCCTGGCAGCACTAGGGTCATCAGTTTAAATCCCAGCCATGGCACTACCTGCGTAGAGTTTGCATGTTCTCCCTGTGCCTGAGTGGGTTTCCATCAGGGACTCCGGTTTCCTCCCACACTCCAAAGACATGCTGGTAGGTTAATTGGCCCGTCTAAATTGGCCCTAGTATGTGTATGTATGAATGCAAGTTGGGGACCGTAGATTTTTCACCCCTTGAAGGTTAGGGACTGATGTGAATGTACAATATATATGTAAAGCGCTGTGTAAACTGATGGTGTTAGAAGCTTTCCCGATCATTTATTTCAGGGACTTTTATAACACCGGCAGTTTACACGGAGCTTTACATATATATTGTAAATTCACATCAGTCCCTAACCTTCAACCTAAGAGCACACTCCCGGCACAGTCAGAAGCTTTTCCGATCATTTATTTCAGGCACTTTTATGACTGTGCTGGGAGTGTGCTCTTAGCACAGCTGTTTATCTTTTAGGTACACATATATTTGGCATTGAGGCCCACCCACCAAGAGGCTGCATATATGTGTACGGCTGGTGGGTGGACGTTTGCAACATATTAAATCCCATGCAGTACAATAATGGGAGGTGCACATGGACACAATATAAAAGCCAGATAATAAAAGGTAAAGTTCACTACAATTCTTCCAGTATTTCCTTCCATTATCTGTCCTTCATAACGGCTCAGCTGCAGAGAGGTTATTGGTATTTAAAAGGTTTGGGATCCCTGTCCAGAGGTATTATTGTTATGGAATGTTTTGGGAGCTCGGTCAGAGGTATTTTTGGGTGTGAAAGACGTTTGGGATATCAATCAGAAGTATTAGTGTTTGAAAAGGTTTGGGAGCCACATCAGAGGGATTATTGGTGAGGAAAAATTTTGGGAGCCCAAACTGAATTTGCTGTGGGGCTTTTTCTTTGCCTGGTAGATATGTTTTTAGTATCTGCTGATAATTTTAGAAAAAATAGTTATTCTCTCTTTTCGTTGAGAGCTAGATAGGTGATTCAATCGGTGCTATTTATTCATATTTTTCTGTATTTGTTTGCAGAAGGAGAAACCATGGACACTTCTTGATGACTTCACAAATGGTTAAACAAATTTTATTGTATTATGCTTTTTCCTTATGTTGGTCCAGTGTCATCTCTTGTCACATGCCTTAATTTGTCTTTCCCATTATTTTATATTAAAACAAAACAAAATGTAAAAGTTGTACAATTTCTGATTTCCAGAACACTCTTTATATCTGTTGTTGGTTTTTTCTTTTTTTTTTTTTTTTTTTTAATGGCCAGACACATCCAGTTAAACTTACACAGGATGCATTTAATCCCAGAAATCTGTTTATTATCGCCCCTTAACAAAGTTAACAGCAGTCCCAGTTCTACTTCAACATCTTGCAGTGCTACCGCCATTGCTAATTGATATTATATACACAATAATATTTAACCTTTAGTAAGTTGTCCTGTCAATATTGGATGATTTATAATGAAAAGTATGATATGACTGTGCGTGAGCATTAATGCATGCAAGTGTTTATGGAATAGGTCCTGCCCTCAGGGCTTTGGTGAGTGATTCTGTGTATTCTCTCTGAATAGAAGTTGGGGGAAACTGCCAAGCCATCCCTAAACATTTACCTGAGGCCACTCTCGATTTAGCGCTGTTCCATGTGCAGCAGCACTGCTCCACTCTTCCTGCATTTCAATGGGTCTCTAAAAGCAGCGGGAGCCATAGGCTCCTGTTGCTGTCAATCAAATGATGTGGGGGGGCATGGCTGAGCCGTGCGTCTGTCTGTCTATGAATGTACCCAGTATGGCTCAGAAGCATGCCTGCATGAGTACAGCCTCAGCATCCAGCCCGGTGAGGGGGCACTTGGAGAGAAGGAGGAGCTGAATGTGTCAGCGAGGTACTCTAGAACAGATAAGGGACCATTGCACAGACAGGTAAGTATAATGTGTATTATTATTTTATGTAAAGAAATAAGCTTTACACCACTTTAAACCTGTATATACAGAATACAACCACTGGCAATAAGTGGTATCACCACTCTTGGAAAATGTTCATTCACTTATTTAATTGTGCATAAAGAAAACTAATCACAGACATGCCTCAAAACTATTTTCATTTAATATTCCAACCTTCTCGCTTTAAGAAACACTTAAAAAAACTGTAGTCTGTTACAAGTATTTTTGCAGATCAAGCAGAAGAAAAAGATATGTAATCACTCAATTCTGAGGACAATATTATGGAATCAAGAAAAAAAACACTACTGTACACAACTAGTACCTGGTTGGACCAACTCTGGCTTTTATAACAGCTTGAATGCTCCTGAGGCATGGATTTAACTATCGACAAGCAGTATTCTTCATCAATCCGGCTCAAACACTTTTCTCTTATTGCAGTTGCCAGATCAGCTTTGCAGGTTGGAGCCTTGTCATGGACCATTTTCTTTCAATTCCACCATAGATTTTCAATTGGATTGAGGTCTGGACTATTTGCAGGCCATGTCATTGACATTTTATGTCTTTCTTGAAGAAAAGTTTTCACAGCTTTTGCCCTATGGCAAGATGCATTATCATCCTGAAAAATGATGTCATTATCACCAAACATCCTTTCAATTGATGGAATAAGAAGTGTCCAAAACCTCAATATAACCTTGTGTATTTATTGAAGATTTAATGCCTGTCATCTCCCCCCGTAAACTTTACATGAAATGCAACCCCATATCATCAATGATTGTGGAAATTTGCATGTTTTCTTCAAGCAGTTGTCTTTATCCATTTCATTGGAACGGCACCAAACAAAAGTTCCAGCATCATCACCCTGCCCAATGCAGATTCATGATTCATCGCTGAATATCACTTTCATCCAGTCATCCACAGTTCATGATTGCTTTTCTTTAGCCCACTGTAACCTTGTGGTTTTTTTTTTTTTTTCTGTTTAGGTGTTAATGATGGTTTTCGTTTGGCTTTTCTGTATGTAAATTCCATTTCCTTTAGGTGATGTCTTACAGTTTGGTCATAGACATTGACTCTAGCGTCTGCCCATTTGTTCCTCGTTTGTTTTTGTTAAGTTTTCTATCTTGACGCTCTGATGTCTTCCTTGGTCTACCAGTACGCTTCCCTCTTACAACCTTCCCATTTGGTTTGTACTTGGTCCAGATTTTAGACACAGCTGAATGTGAACAACCATCTTTTACAACATTCCATGATGGTTTACCTTCTTGAAGAAGTTATATAATCCTCTCCTTTGTTTCAACTAACGTGTTGCATCGTTGGAAGAAATGCTTTAGAAGCAAGTGGTTTCTTTGTGGCCTTAGAAATTTACCACATGACATTGGCCTTGGACATATTAAAAGTCAAAGCACAATGTTTTATGAAAAGTGATCTCCTTAGGCCAGGGCATGAACTATGGCACTGAATTAAAAAAAAAAAAAAAAAAAAAAAGTGCGCTGGCAGAAGAAATTGATGTCAGTGCTAATAAGCACTAATCCTGCAGTCTAGGGGTCAGGTGATGGGCAGGGATGTTCCATAGTCAATATAAGAAAAAGGACACTGGGATCAGCAGACCTATAGGCACTGCAAACTTTAAAAACTAACAGTACTCTGTGCCACTTAGAGAAGGGATCACTGAATGCTCGTTCCAGAGTTCCATTTGCTGTCACAGCTCTCCTTTGGGTGTGAGCAGAAGAGGATCACCTTCTAAGGTTGTTTATGAGAAGTGCAGAGGCAGCAGGACAGGAGCCATTGTCTGCTGATGTGTAGTGGTGTCTGGTATACATCCGGGTAACAGGGTTGCATCTATGGGTTGCGAAATGAGCTTTCCAAAATATGTTGCCTAGTACCTCTACACACCATCCTGTTGCCCGGAAGATTCTTTATCCCGGAGCACCAAAGCATAGCACAGACTTGCACGTCGGATAGCTGGCCTAACACACTAGAATAAGAAGCCTTATTTAAAAGAAAAAAAAAGCAAATAAAGGGCCAGCATTTTCAGGGAGTCTGAGTTTTGAAAACAGTCAAAGTTAAACTAAAGCTTTTGCAAATTTAGCTTTTATTGTTAGAATATTCTAGCAAAGTGAAAAATAATACACAACCCCTAGTTGTCAAATGAATTTGAACTTTTTCCAAAGTATTCGCTAAACCAAACATGCATCTGCTTACTGTAGGTAAAACTTTTACTTTTTCGTATCCATGTCGCTTCTGAATATCCCAGACATTGTTCCTGATGCCTAAATCAAACACTGTAGCACTTTATTGATGAGAGCATGTTTGTAGCTTTTTATTTTATTTTTTTACAGTGCAAATGATTACTAACATCTAAAATGCTGACAAAGCAAATTCAACAATAAAGAAGAGTATCTTACATTCTTCTAAAGAGCCTTTACTATACAGTTTATCTGCTGAATAATACAGGAGGGCATATAAGCAGTCTGTGTGTAGGAGTTTGAATGCCTTTACTGAGAGAAATAAGGAGGGTGCCATTGCTAACCTTATGAAAATGCTAACTACTTGCCTGCAACTGACTGCATTATTTCATGTCATTAACCCGAAACAAACATATACATAGTAGAAAAAGTAAAGTTGGAACTAATTTGCGTATAGCGTTCTAGGACAGTGACTCAAAATGTACTGAATCCAGTGGATCCGCTTGCGCACCAGTATTTTCAGGAGAAAAGGTCAGCAAAAGAAGACTGAAAACTGTGTGAAGTAGGGAATGGTTAAAACTTGTTTTATATTGTTTGTGTTTTCTGTCCATGTCCCATGAAAAGATTTGCATGGTCTTTTGTCCTGGAGACACAACAGGAAATGATTGGCAATATCCTTAACGTGATAGAAAAATTTTTTGTTTTTAATATCAAACATGTCATACTTACATGCTCTCTGCAGTAGTTCTGCACACAGCTGCCCTGATCCTCTTCTTTTCTGCGTGCGAGCTCACAAGCCACTGCTGTACTAGTCCATAAGACATATAGCTGTGGTTTGGCTCACACAATCCCCCCCCCCCCCCCCCGCTTTCTCATTGGCTTACTGCTGTTATTAGCAGCAACTCCTGCTTCTGTCTCAGATGATAAGGAGGGAGAGTCCCCATGCAGCTGAGACTATCATGAACATCTCGATCGGAGCAGGTTTAGGTAAGGATTAGGGGGCTGCGCACAGAAGGTTTTTTTTACCTTCATATCTAAAATGCATCAAGGTAAAACAACTTGGAGCCTTTAGAACCAGACAGTTGTCATACGGACAGGTATCTCCATTTAAAGTGTTACTAAACCCACAACCATAAAATCGGTCTGTATATGCAGTAAAGCATGAGCATGCTTGTTATACTCACTCTGTAACCTAAGGGGTTAATCCTCTGTGTTGTGTGAAAAGGCTGTTTGATCCTGTCTTCTCTGATCCTCCCCTTCTACTGTCCCCAATCCATCTGCTGATAGTACAGAGCTCTAGGAGTCACTCTGAACATGCTCAGTTTAGTGTGTAGGCTAGAGAAGTTTGGGGGGGGGGGTTTTCCCCCCCTTTGGGAGGGTACATGTGATCAGCAGTGGGCCAACTAGCACTGTCCAGATGGATGGTCAGGGGTTATGCAGCCTCACAGGACAGTCAGAGCAGAATAAAAACTTCTCCTACAAGCTTTAACCAGTGCTTAGCAGGACACTGATAGATTTCACAAGATTGCTATATACTGCTGATGAGAAAAGGTATTTAGCAGTTTTATATTTACTAAAATAATTGCATTTTCGTGTACTGTGGGAGATCAGATATAGTGAATGCAGGGTCCTGGGCGTAGTAACATTTGAATGCCTGTTCCACTGCTAACTAAAATTTCAGATTTCCAATGTACTATTGACACAAAATCTCCACTACAAATAGAAAGTGTGAATCTCTCTAAAACAGACCCAGTCAGCAATACAAAAGTGAAATTAAAACAAAAATAAGGGTTGTTCCCAAATATAACCTGGCAGCACCATACTAATGCAAGCATGCTAGAGGCACAAATACAATACTTCCAAAGTACTTTGAAAGCTTCTTTATTAGTAAAACAAAGCATAGTGTCTACCTCCCCCCTTCACCTGGTAAGCAGTAGCATCCTCCATGTGTCTCTAATGTCAGGCTTGAATCTTCCTGTTGTTTGGTATTAGCCCTTGGTTTTAGAAATCGCTGTAGAAAACAATGTTGAGAATTGTTGACCCTCCATAGATACAGTTTAATAGAGATGCAGCCACAGGTCTAGTTCAGCCTGTTCTACAAATTTCAACCTGTGTATAACTTAATTGCCTTATTCCTATATTTTTTTTTTCTATTTAAGGCACGTCTACAGAATGAGGTAGTGATGTGTAAAACATTTGGAGGGGGGTTGTGTTTTTTGTATATTACAGTTTCTATATCATAGAGTTTATAAGCAATATAGAACTAAGCATTGACATGGAGCAAGGCAAACTGTCTAAATATCCATTTAGAATAAAAGATAATTCTTTATATTGGCCACGGTGATCCACATACCCCTGCCACACTGCACATCCAGGAAAATGTGTCTTCATGTTGCTGGTTCAGTTTAACTAGTTCTTGGACTATCTCTCTGCTGAATGGACTGAGGTGGTGATAGAAGAGGTGACATAGAAATCTGCATTATACCAAGAAAATACGTTGTCTATCTAGCTGTGCTGTGTATCAGCTGTGTTAAACATCACAATTGGCTGCACAATCAAGTCCTTGGGCAGGAAAAAACAATACGCATACAGTATATACATTGAAATAGTGTATTGAGCGGTTTGCCTGCATTCCATTTATAGGGTTAAAAAGAAACCAAGGCTGTGCCTAAGGGAAATCTGTCCTGAGAGGAACCTATTGTTTGGCATTGTTGCCCTCCTTCAGAAAATGCTGGTTGCCTGGCTTTCTCTACAGCCAGTCAAGTGGTTCATACTTGTTCTAGATTAGGGAATCATAACGCAGCTGAGCCAGGTTGTCAGTGTGACAGCCAGGCAACTAGCATTTCCAGGAAAGAAGCTAAGGCAGGCTCCATACTCAGCAGAGGTTTCCTTCTAGTTTCTAAACATGCATTGTTAATTTGAGGAACATCAAATGGATATGCGATTCTTCATGCAAACATCGGGTTCACTGCTCTCCACTGTACAGTCACTATAGTCCATTTTGCAGTGGTCACAGTCACAGCTCAATGCCACAGGGTAGGTGAAGAACGGATCTGTGCCAGCCAAGCAGTCTGGAAGTTTGATGGTGTCATAGCGGATCTCTTTATAGGTACAGATTTGCTGTTTAAATGAGGAGAGAGCTGTCTTGAACAGAGGGTCCTGTTGAAAGAGAGCATGGCTGGTATTCAATATAAACTGTTATTTTTCTCCCTAGCTGCCATTTAATCCCAGTAATGGGGGAGATTTACTAAAACAAGAGTGCAAAATACTGTATGGTGTAGCTCTGCATAGAAATCAGTCAGTTTGTCAAGGATTAATTAAGCAAGATGACGTTAGAAGCTGATTGGCTACCATGCACAGCAGTGCCAGATTATGCACTCTCCAATTTTAATAAATCTGCTCCAATTGATACCCAGCTTGCCTGCACTGCTGATTTCCTCATTAAAACAAATCTTTTATATACAAGTGTGGCACTACATATATAACTTATTCCACTACATATATAACTTATTCATCAAATCCCAAAAGTAAACCCGGTGTTGAATATACATTTTTCAAAAACAGAGTAAATATCCTAAGGAATGTGTGCAGCACACCTACTAAAGACTATTGTATATCTATCACAATCCTTCAGTGCTGAAATAAAAGCTGCTGCTTCTATACCTTTAAGGCTCCATGTACACGGGACACTTCTGAACGATGGAAGCTGGCTGCTGGGAAATGTAGTTTACATCTGCTTAGCTGTGTTTGCATACCGTGTTTATGAGCGTTTGCGTTTAGAAGCGGTTTTTACAGATAACCTCAGGAGACCTTCCAAAACACCCAGAATGCACTGAAAAACTATAAAAAATTAACTATTTCAGACATTTTGACAGAAATAGAGCAGTATTTGTTGAGATTAGTTGTCTATTTTGTTTTTCCTGTGGTGTTTGGATGTGTTCCAGCTCATTTCTGTGCAGAAATTATTGCAGCAGTGTCTAACATATTTGTTTTCATGCGCAACCTCAAAGTATAGTATACCAGGTCAATTTGAGTATTGGGAAAATGCTTTGCATGCATTTTTCATGATGAAAAGAGGCTCTGGACAGCATTTGGCGTTTGAAACGCTGATAAAATCTACTCCTGAACGCAAGTTTGTTGCGTTCAAAAAAACGACTGTAAACGGCATAGTGTACATGGACACATAGGAAAACATTAGGGAGAGTTCAGAGGCTGCTGAAAAAAACACAGAAAAGCTCCTGAATGTGAGTTTATCAGCTGCAGTGTACATGGAGCCTAAATCTACCTTTTCCTGTGACAAAATTCATGCAAAAATGTTTGTGCACCTCTGCTATTACCACAGCAAACACCCAAATGTGCTCTCCCCTTTATACATGGGACCTACAGACTGACATGTCCCAAAGGACTTTTATTTAAAAAAAAAAAAAAAAAAAAAAACTAGACTAGAACCCTCACATTACATAATATCTAGTAAAGCTGTGACAAATATATACTGCCACTACCACCTGGTCTACATTGCCCTCCACTACACACCTCTGTTTCACTTTCTAGAGGTAATGTGGCAGTGTGGTGACATCACCTGTGGCTCCTCCCTATGTGTTTCGTCAGCTGACTTCATCAGAGGCCATGTGCAACGGAACACCAATGTGGGGTTTATTATTGCAAGCTCTGACACCAGTGGTGAGGGTTATTGCTTGCACTGACACAAATTGCCACTGGCAAGCGCAAGGAGTAGTAAAACATCCGTATGAATGTAGCCTGTATGTATGGTGTGGATGTCTGCACTGACTGGTGTTCTGAGAGTGTTGAAGTCTGATGTGACTTCTATCCCTCTCATTTTTCTAGCGTACGTATATGTACAATACAGCAAAGTTGTGTATAATATGCCAATGCCACCTGAACACGGAAGTTCCACTTTTTCTCCCCCTCCTCTCCCACTTTTGGATTTTTTTTTCTTTTTCTGGCAGGAGATCAAAGCTGATTTCTCCTCCTCTAACGGTTGCAGGAGGAAAATGGAGAGGATCAGTTCCTGCATATGCCGCCTGTCCTGTCCAAGTGTAAAACAGGATGTGGCAGGGATGTTGCACGGGCTCTCTGCGGGTTAGCCACATTTTACCATAGACCTCTTTTATATCTTGCAGGTGTGGTGCACTTTCTGAAAGCACACCAAATCCACACGATCTAATAGAAGTCTATGACCCAGTGCAGCAGCCTAATGGTTAACCCTTTTATAGGTGCCCAATCAAAAAGTGCAGTGTATGTGTTATTTAATACACTGACCTTTTTTTCCTCTTCCAATTTCTGCTGGCATTGCTCTGCAGGCTGCTAGAAAAGTTCTAGGCGTAATTCACTTGGTATCACTCCACCTGGGAAAGGAGCTGACACTACAGAGGAAACATTGGCTTATGCAGCTCCTGCTTTCTCTGCTGCCAATGCCGGTTGAATGCACTCTGGTGCTCTGGGATGGTGGGTTGGCAAGCTCAGATTGCGATCAATGGGTTGTTGACCCCAGGCATGCACTTCCCCAGTTTGAGGTCAAGGGCCACAGGATGAGCAGCCCTGGCCTAAGCAAAGTGAAAAGTCCCTAAATGAATAATCTGAGGATAGTAGCTGATTGGTTACTATACCCAGCTGCTCCAGATTTTGTCTGCTCCAGTGTTTGCAAATTCCCTCAAATTAATTCAGTATAGTATTGGAGTATGTGATTAATCTAGATTCCATATCTCTGTTTCATTCATTGATTTATAGCACAGGGCCAAACTTTCTAAACACAGGGCCAGTTTACTGTCCCTCAGACTTTAGAGGTGCCGCACTGTGGCCAGTGGAAGTAGAGAATACCCTGGTGTCCGTGGACGTAAACAATGCTCCATGACTGGTATTAGGGGAAGTAATAGTGCCCCATGTTTGGTATCAGTGGGAGAAATCGTGTACAATCATTGATGTCAACGAGAGGCAATGTGCCCCATCATTGTTGTTAATCAGTGCCCCATCATTGGTATCAGTGGGAGGAATAGTGCCCCATCATTGGTGTCAGTGGGAGGAATAGTGCCCCATCGATAGCATCAGTGGGAGGAATAGTGCCTCATTATTGGTGCCAGTAGGAGGAATTGTGCACTATTATTGGTGTCAGTGGGAGGAATAGTGCCCCATCATTGGTGCCAGTGGGAGGAATAGTGCCCCATCGTTGGTGCCAGTGGGTGGAATTGTGCCCTATTATTGGTGTCAGTGGGAGGAATAGTGCCCCATCACTGGTGTCAGTGCGAGGAATAGTGCCCCATCATTGGTGCCAGTGGGAGGAATAGTGCACTATTATTGGTGTCAGTGGGAGGAATAGTGCCTCATTGTTAGTGTCAGTAGGAGGAATAGTGCCCATCATTGGTAGCCAGTGGGAGGAATAGTGCACTATTATTGGTGTCAGTGGGAGGAGGAATAGTGCCCCATCATTGGTGTCAGTGGGAGGAATAGTGCCTCATTGTTAGTGTCAGTAGGAGGAATAGTGCACCATCATTGGTATCAGTGGGAGGAGTAGTGCCCCATCATTGGTGTCAGTGGGAAGAGTAGTGCCCCATCATTGGTGTCAGTGGGAGGAATAGTTCCCCAATTGTTAGTGTCAGTGGGAAGAATAGTGCCCAGTCATTTGTGTCAGACAGATGAATAATGCCTGATCATTGGGAGGAACAGTGCCCCATTATCGGTGTCAGTGGCGGGAACTATGCCTCACTGTTGCTGACAGTGGGGGGAATAATGCCCGAAGGGCTGGATAAAAGCAAGCAAAGGGCCACATCCGACCCCTGGGTCATAGTTTGGAGACTACTGATTTATAGGAAACTTTGTAATAAACCTTTAGTCTGACAAATCTCTTCAAAGGAAATGCTTTGTGCCTGAGACTCACCAATGTCTCACAGTAGCCACTGCAGATGGTGGTGGTGAAGGTAACACACATTGGACAGTGGTCCTTCTCTGCAGAGATAGTTGCATTAGCGAGGTGGCATTTGTGACGTCCTTGCACAGCAGACAAGTGAGTGAACAGAAGCAGGATTGTCAACTGACGATTAAACATCCTGCAAAGACAGAATGGAAAATATGATTATTTTCTGTTAAAGAAATGTGTTATCCCTATTATTCTAATATTTTTATGGAAAGTACATTTATAAGCATTTTCACATATCTGCTGTGTCATATTTCATACACATTTGAAGGTATGCACTCTAGGGGCTCTCACTGCATGTGAGAATAAAAAGCACCCTTGCTAAAAGGCTGAAAATAATAGGAAAAATTAAAAAAAGAATAAGCTATCTGTAAAGTTAACTATTTCCACACCATACTGAATGTGTCTAAGGTCTGATTCACACCAACTACTGCACTGATCACATAGCCGCTGGTGTGCGCTGGGAGGACATGGTGCTGAAGTGCCAATCCCTGTATATCACACTGTTTACTTTTTTTTGTCCCCTAGAACTTTATTGAAATTTCATTAAGTTCTATTCACACAGCAGTGTCAGACTACACTGAAAAAGTACTGCATGTAAAACTAGCCAACAAATCCCAAATTAAATAGTGTGAATGGGCCCTCAAAGATACTTTATGGGGTTTAAAAGACACGCAGCTGTTTATCCTAGACAGAAGAATGGCATATATAGGTTTACATCTGTGCATAAACAAAACTGAAGGTTTTTGGATGGGTATCTAGAAAAAAAAAAGTCATGCAGTAACAGGGGCGGACTGACAACTCATGGGGCCTCCAGGCAATAGGGGATCATGGTGCCCCTGTGTCCTTGCCCAAACTCAAAAAAGCCTATGAAAAAGGTACCAGGGGCATCTCAGGGGGCCCCCTACTGACCTTGGGCAGCGCCCGAGTTTCCAAATGGTCAGTCCACCCCTGTGCAGTAACATAAGCAATGATGATGAGCATAGTGCAAGGATCCTAACAGCCATTCAGGGTTCAATGTAATGTAGAATGAAACACAGCAACTCAGTTGTAATTTGACAGCAGGAAATGAATGCAGGCACCTATAGAGGTCTGTGCACACTGTATAATTACATGGCATCCAGAGCTCACCAGAAGTCCCAAACATTCAGCCCCTGGAGTAATGTTCAGGCCCAGGGGCGGACTGACAACTAATGGGGATCAATGGGGATCCCCCTGTGTCCTTGCCCAAACTAAAAAAAGCCTATGAAAAAGGTACCAGGGGCATCTCATGGGGCCCCCTACTGACCCCGGGCCCTCGGGCAGTGCCCGAGTTTCCAAATGGTCAGTCCACCCCTGTTCAGGCCCCCCAGGCATTCTTCAACAATTGTCAATGGCTATGATTTGCAGCCTAATTGACCAACATTGAGGTAGGAGGGGGCGGAGCCTTTGGTAACTTAATTCAGAAGTTATATAATGAAGCACCCTGGCACCTTTTGGATCTCTCTGGAAATCTAATAGTATGCAATTAGCCTGTCGTAACTTTAAAAATGACATTAATTTAAATAAAACAATGTTCATGTAATGGTTTGTTCTGATGCTATTTAAAAAATGACAGCGTTGGACTATAACACGCCAAAGTGTTATTCCACCCAAAACTGATATTTCTGTAATGGGTGGTTTCTGTTGTCCACTGACTTTTTATATCTCTCTGTCAAAGCAATGTCCTACCATGCTACTGAGAGGCGAGCCATCTTGTAAGACTTCTTTACTGAAGCTGAGAACTGAAGCCTGTAGGTTCTCCAGTGAACTCATTGAGAGAATAAAGGATCTTGTGGAGGACTTGAGCTCCAAAATCTACTGGAAACTCAAATAACTTCAGTTGACCTTATCCTTGAGAAGCAGCCTGAACGAGATATGTAGTGTAGACTTACCTTAATGTAGAGATCATGGGTGGTAAATGATGGTGCCACTATCCTGGGTGAGACTGTTCATGTGTCCAATGAACTGTTCATTTAAATGTTCAAGCTTAGCCCCACCCTCATATGCCAATGGGTGTTCTGATGGAGGTTTGAAGGCTACATAGACCTTATCAGTTGACCTCCTCCGGAACAGATTAATGAATCATCACCATTTGATGCTTGAAAGATCTTCTGAATCATGAATTGAATAAGTGTATTAATCCTGAAAGGACCAATGTGTCCTAATCTGATATTAAGGAAACACATTAGCTGATCATCTTCTCATGTATCACTTTTATACAACCCAGTAAATCTATTCATGTGGAAAGGTTTATATTTGGAACTATTAGCTACTCTTTTTCTTTTTATGCATTTCATAGTTACACAGAAAAAAATAAAAAAAATAGAAACCCTTCATACATCCCATCCTAAACAGACAGTTGATCCAGAGGAAGACAACACCCCCCCCCCCCCCCCCCCAATAAAGCATGGTCCAATTTGCTCCTGCAAGGGTAAAATTAATTCCTTCCTGATCCCCCCAAACGCAATTGGATTTTCCTTGGATCAACAATATCTGATGTTATTACCAGTTAATAACCAGTTATATTTTTTGGATTTAGAATTACACCCATTTCTATTTTAAAACAATCTACTGAGCTGGACAGAAATACTGTAGTTCCTGAAGGAGTCTACTTCACATTTTCGCAATTTCTGGTACATACCACATATTTCCCTTTTCCTCCCTCTCGGTTTCTCTACTTTGTTTTCCTGGGGAAAGGTTATTAGTCATTGGAACTTACAGCTAGTGATGAGCTGAACATACATGAATTTAGTTCAGGGTGGGTTCAACGATCACTAATAAAGTTGGGGTGCTAAATCCAAACCCCAATAAAGTCAATGGGAGCTGAATGTTAAAAAGGGTAATGACCATTTTCTAGATTCATATGCAAATGATTATCAAATAAATGCCATGAGTGGGGTTGGGTACCACTGTGGGTAGCATATATCAAAGCATAAAATGTTTTAAAAATGATGCCATAATGCCTAACCACTTGCTGGCTTGGCGCAGTACATAAACTGGGGCGGGGCGGCTCATTCAGGAGCTGTATTGTTCCTGTACGTCGGGGCTTTCTTCCGGGTTTGCTCGCATATGTGTGTACACTAGAAACCCAAGCTGTCATTAGCCCTGCAACACAAGCAGATCAGTGGTTCCCAGCCAATGATTTATGGCTGGGACTTGCTGATTGGCTGAGCAAATGACAGGGCTCCCTACAGACAGTAGTGATGTGTCAGTTTTTTTTCTCTGCAAAGCAGGGAGTAAAAACAGGTACATCACTTAATAAAAGCAGCACATACAACACACAGTAAACATTGTTAGGCACCCAGCTGTGATAGGTTGCGGCTTCACAGCCGGGTACCCACTGCGCATGCGCTAGTAGCGCTGCGCTTTATGAATGGTCCTGTAGTCTTCTGGGACCTGTCACGTGTCCCAACCAAAAGACTACAGAGAGAGAGGGAGGACACCTTCTGCTTCCGATCGCCTAGGCGATCGGACCAAAAGTGGGAGCGGGTACCTGTCAAATTTGGGTACCCACTCCCCCCCCCACCCCCCAAAGGTGCCAGTCCTTAATGAGGAGTGGGGGAGCAGTCCTTAAAGTGGAACTTCCCCTTTTAAGTGGTTAAAGTACAACATTAAAATGCAACATTTCCTGAAATACCATATCTGGGGATGCCCGGAACCTGCCAGTGAGGAGACATATCTGTATGATGTATGCACGCTACTACAGCAAAACTGCAAAACAAAATGCAGTTTTACCCCTTCCTGCCGACAGTACGCATATATGCAGCTTTACTAGACTGTTTTTTTCCCCTGGGGCCGCATATACTGTATGCATATCTGTCTGGGAGAATTCTGCACAGTGCGTTACCAGCACAGACTGGGCTCTTACTGGGAGCCCTAGGTCCCGTACTAATGATTGGGACCTGAGACTCCTATTTCTGTGTCATCTGATAGCAGTGATAGGTTCTGATTGGCTTTCATAGTGGGATCAGTCACTGTGCAGCCCACTCCTGTGTTTATTTTCTCTTTGAATTAAGAGATTCATTGATTGATGCATCTCTCTCTCCTTGCAGGGATATGTGCAAACAAACAAATGTGTGTAAACAAATATATAAAAAAATAACTAGATCGGGTTTGATGTAGATCGGAGCCAGGTTTAGTGTTTGTGTCAAGGTCAGGGTCAAAAGTCATGGTTCAGAGTTTTTTTGGGTAGGATTTTTTATTATTATTATTATTACAGGTACTTGTGTAGCGCTTTACATATATATTGTACTTATTGTATTTACGCAGTGCTTTACATATATATTGTACTTATTGTATTTACGCAGTGCTTTACATATATATTGTACTTATTGTATTTACGCAGTGCTTTACATATACAGTATATTGTACTTATTGTATTTACGCAGTGCTTCACATATATATTGCACTTATTGTATTTACGCAGCTCTTTACAAATATTGTACATTCATATCAGTCCCTAACCCTCAAGGAGTGTGCAATCTAAGGTCCCTAACTCACATTCATACATACAAATATTAGGGACAATTTAGAAAGGATCTAATTCACCTACCAGCATGTCTTTGGAGTGTGGGAGGAAACCAGAGTACCCGAGGAAACCCACACAGGCACAGGGAGAAAATGCAAACTCCAGGTAGGTGGTGTCGTGGTTGGGATTTGAACCAACGACCGTAGTACTGCCAGGCAGAAGTGCTAATTTTTTAAAGCATATTTTTTAGGTTAGTATCAGTGTCAGTTAGTGTCGGTGTGAGTTTTTTTTAGGTAGGACTAAAAAGCAAAATGCGCACTATTGTTTCTAGACCCTACTATAGGTACACACAAATAATATACACATACTGTATGTGGTATCGCTGCAATCATCAGGAACAGGAGAAATTATTTTGGGATCTTCTTTGGTGGTAGGTTATGGTAGTAGCTGGAAATATGCAGCTAAATTTTCAAAAAATTTTTTTTTTTTACTATTTTGGGCTGGTTTTACTTTGATAATTAAAAAA